AATAAACCCTTATATTGAAATCGTAGAATAAGATACCCTTTGGCGAACAATAATAAACCCTTATCCTTGACTCTTGAAGTAAAATACCCTTTTTTTGTCATATACCCTTGGTTTCATAAACCCTCAGGTTCATAAACCCTTAAAGGGTTTATGAATATTTATAGATAGGGCAAGCGTTTATTAGTCTACGCTTTTTTTTTACAGTGTACCTCAGAAGAAATAATATTGTTGATTCATTGATGATGAAACACTCGATTATGTTAAAAAAAGCGACTGTATTCGAGTAGTAATATCAAGAAAATAAAATATTTTAGTTATATCATTGCGTATTATGTATAATATTATTAGAATGTCGATATTCGATTGCTCATAATTACTCGACAAGTTATGATAAGGACTTCAGTAATATGAATATCAATCATAAAATATAAACATTATACTTGTACTCCTTGCTGAATGAGTTCAATCCGTTATTATGTAAATCGCTTCGTACAAATAAGTTGAGTCTGTTACAGAAATATAAAATGTAAAATAACAAAAACCAATCACATAGAAAACGTTTCATACAGTTATCATACTTGATAGTGATATTGACTCCATAAAAAACTATGTATATGCCTTACATGATAGCAGTTTGGAGTTGTTCATGAAAAAAGTCATAGTTCATCGAATAACGAATCATTGAACAATAACCATTTGCAGTAAAGAATTGAATTCGCTGTAAAATGTACGCATCAACACCCATTCCACTGAAAGTTGGATTATCAGCAGAAAATCTAATCATATTTGTTCCGCATATACGTATTTTAGCTAATTCAAAGCTGATTGTGCAATATATATGTTGCTCGATGTGTAGCCTGATGGAATTAAGCCAAATTTTATTTTATTTACTAGTAAATATATTTACTTTACAAAAGTAAATTGTAAATATTTTATTTACTTTACTGCTTTACTTTTTCAAAAAGTAAAGTGAATGTGCCACCCCTACCCCTGAGGGGGACTTGGGGGGATAATTTTGGAAAAAAATAAAAAGGCTAAATTCTTTGAGGTTCATGCGTTTCTTTTCAGTTTCAAAGGCTGATTTTAAATATGGTATTGGTTTTACCGAGTTCCAGGTTATTTCGAGCAGGATGCGAAAGATAAAAATGAAAAATAACATAAAAACATGTACATAGCCCGATATCTGTACCGTAAGTTTTTGTGACCAACGTTTTTTCCACAATTGTTTTACATACAACACTAGATCTGATCAAGATCTACCTTTTAATACAGAATTCATAATGGTTCCGATTAAAATGGATACTCTTCGGTTAGTCTTTTCGTCTCGAAGTTGAATTATTTTTCAAAAAATTTGATTTGTTCCTCTTATCATTACCCCCAGGCCAACGTTTTTATCCAGACTTTTTTACATAAAATTCTACGTCTAATCAAGATCTATCTTTTGGTACAAAATTCATAATGGTTCCGATTAAAATTGAGATTATTTTCTTAGCCATTTCATCAGAGATCAGGATCATTTATCAAAAATTTGATATTTCCCCCTTGTGATGACCCCCCAGGCCAAGATTTTTATCTAATTTTTTTACATAAAACTCTAGATCTGATCAAGATCTAGCGAATGAGAAGTGTTAGAAGTTAAAAAGTCGGTGGATATTAGACGTATTTAAAACGTAACATAAGGTTAAATCCTCATGTTGAGTATTAAAGTTCTACCTGTCTGTGCCTACAAAACATGTAATATATTCAACAGATTTTTCTATAAAACAATTTGTGGCATTGTTTTTGATAATGTTGGTAGAGAAAATCCCGATTCCTACAGGGGGCCGATTTTGGCTCTTAACGCCACCCGTCCTTTGATAGAGTTATCAATTAATGGCACTATCGAATCTAAATCATTTTTTCCAATTGATAATATAGATTTAATCAGCATATATTCACTATTCCATCTTGTAACGTTTGCTTTGCTAATATTTTGTTCATTTGATCAAATAAATCGGCTATTTTATTTGATTTATGTGATACCTTTGACAGGGTTCGGCATTTTTCTAATACCTTGGATATATGTGATGCATTATGAACACCATCACGTACACAAAGTTGAAGACTATGCAGAAAACAAGACAACCGATATTTTGGTAAACCTTGATAGTCTTCAACATCATCAGGATATTGAACATTAATTATTTCGAAATTGTCCAGTTGAATGTCATCTATAATGAAAAAGAGTTTATATCTAATTAAAATTTGCGAAAAACGTCAAATAACAATATACAAGAAAATTGTAAAGATTAAACACCTATAAGTGAACATAGTTTGAATAGATTGTATAATTTTTCTCAAAATATGCGATGAAATATGTTAATTAGTTGAATCTCATTTTGGCCTTTAGGCCAATTATCCTTAAGTCAATCAGATATAAATGATTAACACGCGAAAATGTGTTAAAACTCCTATGATATATTTTGTAACTTCATAGATATTCCCCAAATTATGTTTAAATGGTATTTAGACAATATATTGATTACAAGGAGCTTTTTCAAATGAAAAATTGATCAGCCGGAATGACATCTCTTGAGAAAATCCCTTCTTTTATTCGCTCATTTAGAATTAGAATCGAAGAAAATGTTAAATGTTCTTTACGAACATACCGTCGAATGTTGAGTTTTCATTGGATATTGGATTTGTTTGATGTTCCAAAACACTATCTTGATCGTCAGTAAATAAGCCAAATTTGTAAGCCTTGACCATTGAGGATGCATTATCTGTAATGATTTTAAAAATTTTTTCTCTGATATTAAATCGTAAAGAATATCTTCAGTTAAATGTAAAATATTTTCTCCTGTATGGGGCGATTTGAATCGTGCAAAATCAATTAAAAATGCTTGTGGTATCATTTTATTATCAATAAAGTGACAGGTGACACGTAAATATGACCGGCATCGTCTATCGGACCAAACGTCAATTGTTAATGTTAAATCATTTGCATCATTTATTATTTCATGAATTTTTTGAAGAAAATCGTCCTTCAGTGCTGGAATAACAGCATTTTTCAATTTTTTTGCTGATACAGGTTCAAATTTGAAATGGCAATCTTTTAAAAATTCACGAAAACTAATATGTTCAACGAAATTTAATGGCAATCCACATTTGATGATTAGATTTTTTGTAATAGATAAAACGAATTCATTTTGTCTATTTTTAATACTTGCTGTATCAGCTGTTGCTCGATCATCAATAACACCATTTGTTTCTTCAGTTACATATCCAGCATCAGAAGGCGAGATTCGTTCATATTCGAGTGGATGAATTCGTTTTCAATGTTTGATGAAATTACTGTAAGTACCATTACGATCTTTATAGTTTTTGTGACATAACTTGCAGAGTCCGTTAACTCGATTTTTATCGATAGACGAGAAATTAAAAAATTGACTCCATTTTTCACTAGCCATTGATTGACCGATCGAAATTTCAGTAAAAATAGATAATTGTTTAAAAAATTATTCAAAGTGTAATAAATAATGGATTATGATTCGATAGGGAAAACAAGCAAAGCTCTTTTTATCTCTCATACACCAATCAATATTTTTAGAACTTCATTCCTTCGATCACTCTATATCATGAATTGCTGCATATGATTATGGTGCAATACGATCACTAATTAATATAGATTCTTATGATTCAAATGTAAATATAATGTAAATCATCATTCATACAGATTTTACTACAGATGCCGCTAAATTAAAGACATGACGAGTGTCATGATTTTTCAATATCGATATTTATGCCTTGTATAAACAACTATACTACATTATAGTGATCAATACTCTAATGTACTTAATTTTACTGTACTTGAGTACAATGGGACTTAGTACAGCTAATGAGTAAAATGTACTCCAGTAAAAAGTACTTAAGTAAAGTACACAGTACATTTTTAAGTATCAAGTATTTTACTTATACTTGATGTACTTGTACTCGTCCAATCACTGATCACAATAAATAACGAGGAGTGCCCAAGGACTGAGGATTAGGAATTCCTCATCAGTCCCCCTACAGTTCCTTGCATACTAAAGGTAAAAATATGGAATATTCACGATAATTTTTGTTCTTACACGTATATTCACTCGCAAAATTGTGAGAATCAAGAATCTCATGCAAAAATTATTTTTAAAACAGCAATATCGCGACTTTCGTGAATGGTGGAACTGTGAGGGAACCGATAGTTGATTCCCATTTCCTCTAGGAATTATCACAGCGACACTGACAATTCCTCGGGACATTAGGAATTCCTATTTTTCAGTCCTTGGACACTGCTGATTTTATTTTTGTGCTTTTTCTAGAAGAAACTCCGATTTATAATAGGAGTCATTTACAATTTCTGTTCACATACACATAGATATATTATATTTATAAATCATCTTTGTTATGGGTAACTTATGCGCCCAGTCTCAATATAGCAACAAAATTGGAATATTTGGTAATCAAAACATAGCAGTCATTTCCAATGGTGTCAGCTACAACTTTGCGAGTATACTTGATCCAGCGGTCAATCAGATTGTAGAACAACACCGATTCGACTTGATTAGGGTGCATTTTGTTTCGATTTCATTTTTGCTTGTACTAATAATGGGGATGTTCTACTTCTTTATTCAGAATCGCAATGTAGTAAAAAGTGAGATAATAGCTTAAAATTCAGATGCCCTTATATATACATATATCTTCATCAATGTTTTAGATAGTCAATCTAAACCTAATGACGTGAGATCTCCTTGAAAGCATAATTTTTATATAAAAACTATTTTTTATCGCTTAGAATAAATTACGGTGTATATTGAATTTTATTAGACGTAGAAATCACTTCAGAAACTGTATCAAAGAAGTACCTTTATTATTAAGAAGAAATACTTTCATGATTGATGTTGTAATTGTAGCTCGCGAATGTTTTGGATGAAATTACCGATGTATCAATGTACAACAAGAGCTCTACAAGCTCTCTCTTTGATCTATTCGACACTATCGACCATATATATACGAGTTAACTCATCATCGTATTATCAATCTCTTTTCATAAAAAAAGCTTACTGATAAGAAATTCGCTGGTAGGTACAGAAATCATGCACGAAAATTATTTAATTCTATAGGGCTTTGTGTAACGATCTTGAATTTGAATAGCGGTGAATTAATGCATTGTCACAATAAATGACAAGCATTTACTTGTGCCCTGCATGGTCTGAACTCGTACATGGATGTGTCTCTGGAACTATGCTAGGTAGATGTGCTTTGCTTGGGTTTTAAGATGAAAATAGTGTTGTCTTAACGCTATGTTTTCTCTGTTAAATCAATTAGAATGCTTTACAGGCTGGTATTATCCATTCACTTGCCCCACTCTTATTACAAACGTCATATCTTGAAATTTTAGAAACAAATAACGTAATAATTCCTTACCATACATAAGAGTGACATAAATCCATCTTTTGTTTTATTTTAGCCAATTTTGTCTCTATTTCAAACCATAACAAGAATCTTTCTTCATATTGCTGAAATTGATGAGCTGAAACATTATCTAGAAAATTATGATTGTTGTAAAGTATGTATTAATGATAGAAGTAAGGTTTTTAAAGTTGCTTACGCCCTTTAACATATTCCAGATTCTACTTCATGTTGCTAATTGTACGAAAAATGGAATATTACGAGCCCTTACTTTTTTAGTTGTAGCTCAAATAGGAAACGATAAAATTATCAAATATCCATTTAACATTCATGACAGTAATATATCAAGAGTGCGGCTAAAATTTCCAATACTAACTATGTGTTAATTATATTTTAGGTTCAATCCTATTTCGTCTCTATTATGACGTATCAACATCCAAGGATAAAACGGCACATGGCATTGACCAAAGCGAGTTGTTAAATGGATTTTTGGCTCTCGGTCAACTTGAAACTAAATATTACAACGGCGCCAATAATTGACAATATTTAATTAAAATATCTATTTGAAATCTTGACCTATCATATAATTTTAATGCTTTACTATTAAAATCTTGTTATTTATTCGTATTCTATAGAAACAAAATAGTTATTCGTTCAATGTAAAAATGAATAAAGAAATAATTCTTAATCATGTAGAAGTACTTTTCGAAATATTCTGCCTTTATTGATTTGTGTTTCAAATTTGACGAGATTCAGTCTCGTAAATAATAAATATGCAATTTTTAAGCGAAACCTTCAGTAGATATAAATTGAAATGGTACTTGGCGAGAATTGCTAGCTTTATTCATTTCCCATAGTGGAAATTCTCTTAAAACATCTGCATGAGAAATTCTAATCATTGAACTTTTAACGCTACTCACATTTTAATTGCGGCGACGTAAATTTTTAGCATCACCAGAGACATGTTTATGAAGATTGTTTTGTACAATCAAAACTGATTGATTTTCAATATTTGATCATACAGCAACCGGGATTTTATTTTAAATCAATATTCAGTTCTTCAACGTGGGAAACGGCTCATAACAACTCTGGGCAATATTCATTCGCTATTCAGCTAAAATTTCTCATATAGCACAGTGTAATATTTGCGGTCATTTATAACGAGAGCTTGCTAGCGTTGAAGAATTCAAATATGTCGTCAGTTCTTAGATATTATACATTCAGTCACTATACGAGAAAATTTTTTTTAATATTATTAAATCAATGATGTGTTCATAGTAATCTTTTCCTTTCAGTAGAGGGTCAGCGACACTTATGTCGTATTACTTGTTCATAACTTGTTTTAGACTGAGAGGGACTAATGTTGAAAGAACTACGAAATAATTGGATTTAATTTTAGATCAATTCTGACCAATTCTGTTCAATTCCAGTCAATTCTGACCAATTGCAATTTCAATTCCAGTCAATTCTGATCAATTTCAATTCCAATTCCAATTCGAGTCAATTCCGATCAATTCCAATTCCAAGTCTAACCAATTCTGGCAATTCCAAGCTAAGAATTGGAATTGGAATTGGTGCATCCCTAGTGTGGAGAAACAGGAGAGAATCTTGCTCACACCCACCGCCATCTGATGAGACTCCTAGAGGAGTCGAAACACGTGTCATGGCTGCTAATCTTGATAAGTCCCTTAAATAAGGACGAAATCTGGGATCGTAGTTTGCTTGACACACCCGCGCTCTCACACCCTGAAGATTCAGCTTATTGATTCGTTTCTTCGTTAAGGAATAGATTGATCTGTTATTAACGTAATTGCCTCACCCTATGAGTACCTTCCCATGTAAACACGAAACGCAGAATCGATGCGTTGAAACGCGAAAAACGGTTTTATAATGCGTTCCAATGAGTTTTCAGTATGAAACGCATTGCGACGCAATTAGAAAAATTTTGAAACGCATCTGAACGCAGTTTTTTAACACAACGCATTTAAACGTAATTTGAAATCAATATTAACCGCGTCTCATTGCG